ACCAATTTAAAAACGGGACCCAAAATTAAAAATCTAAATACACGGTTAGATTTGGCATATCAAAGAACCCCAATAATTCAATTTTTGATGAAATCAAACAAAGTTTAATTTTGGACCCTTTTGACCTCAATATGAACCAATTTGATAGCGGGTCCACAAATAAAAAATCTAAATACATGGTTAGATTCAGCATATCAAAGAACCCCAAGAATTCAATTTTTGATGAAATCAAACAAAGTTTAATTTTGGACCCTTTTGACCTCAATGTGGACAAAGTTAATAATGGGGCCCATAAATCAAAAATCTAAATACATGGTTAGATTCAGCATATCAAAGAACCCCATATATTCAATTTTTGTTGAAATCAAACAAAGTTTAATTTTGGACCCCGATTTGGACCAACTTGAAAACTGGGCCCATAATCAAAAATCTAAATACATGTTTAGATTCAGCATATCAAAGAACCCTAAAAATTCAATTTTTGTTAAAATCAAACTAAGTTTAATTTTGGACCCTTTTGACCTTAATGTAGACCAATTTGAAAACGGAACCAAAAATTAAGAATCTAAATACACGGTTAGATTCAGCATATCAAAGAACCCCAATAATTCAATTTTTGATGAAATCAAACAAAGTTAAATTTTGGACCCTTTGGACCTCAATGTGGACCAATTTAAAAACGGGGCCCAAAATCCAAAAACTTAATACTTGGTTAGATTCAGCATATTAAAGAACCCCAAGAATTCAAGAATAAAACCCCATTGAAATTGATCAAGAAATAAGCAATTTATATGAAGTATCTTCTTTTGCACAATACTGTGCAATTGAATATTTCTTGCTATTGTGCAATACTGTACAATTGACAATTTCTTGCTATTGCGCAATATTGTGCTATTGGAGATTTCTTGCTATTGCGCAATACTGTGCAATTGAAGATTTCTTGCTATTGCGCAATACTGTGCAATTGAAGATTTCTTGCAATTGTGCAATACTGTGCAATTGAAAATTTCTTGCTATTGCACAATACTTATTATATAATAATTTACACATTCTGTTTGGTGTGTATCTCCTACCATATCATTATTATTTGCATTTAAATATTAATCAGAAATAACCAACTTAAAATGGAAAATTTTAAAAGAAAAAAAAAAAGGAAAAAAAGAAAAAAAAAGAGAAAAAAAAATCCCCCCCCCAATTTTTTGAACCCCCTTATGATTCATCAACCCCAAACTCAATCCCAGCCTTCCCTTTGTGGTATGGTACCTTGCAGTACAATTTCAGAGAGATCCATACACTTGAACACAAGTTATTGTCTGGAAACTAGAAAAATGCTTATTTTTGGCCCCTTTTTGGCCCCCTATTCCTAAACATTTCGGGCAATTACCCACAAACTCAATTCCAGCTTACCCTTTGTGATATGGAACCTTGTAGTACAATTTCAGAAATATCCCAACACTTACACACAAGTTATTGTCATGAAACTAGAAAAATGCTTGTTTTTTGCCCCTTTTTTGGCCCCTAATTCCTAAAATTTTGAGGCAATTACCCCCAAAATCAATTACAGCCTTCCCTTTGTGATATGGAACCTTGTGGTACAATGTCAGAGAGATCCATACACTTACACACAAGTTATTGTCTGGAAGTTACAAAAATGCTTATTTTTGGCCCCTTTTTGGCCCCTAATTCCTTAACTGTTGGTACCATAACCCCCAAAATCAATCCCAACCTTCCTTTCGTGGTATTGAACCTTATGGTAAAATTTCATGGAGATCCATTCACTTAAACTAAAGTTAGAGTGCGAAAACCAATGTGTCTTCGGACGACGCCAGATGACGACGACGACGACGACGCCAACGTCATACCAATATACGAACAAAAAATTTTCAATTTTTGCGGTCGTATAAAAAGAAGGGGGTGGATGTTACCCCCATGGACTTCCCCAATATTTCACTTGATTTGTTTTATTGACCCATACAAGAATATATAATGGTTCAGGGGTGGGGCTCTCGACCGTTTTTAAGTTATCAAAAAGAAGGGGGGTGACCCCCTGGACTTCCCCTATATTTCATTTGATTAGTGTTATTGTCCCATACAAGAATATATATGGTTTAGGGGTGGGGATCTCGACCGTTTACAAGTTCTCAAACAGGATGGGGTGGGGGTGACCCCAGGGGACTCGCCTTATATTTCATTTGATTTGTTTTATTGTCCCATACAAGAATATATATGGTTTCAGAGTGGGGATCTTGACCGTTTACAAGTTTTCAAAAAGAAGAGGGGTGCGGGTGGTCCCGGGGACTCCCCCAATATTTCGTTTGATTTGTTTTATTGTCCCATACAAGAATATATATGGTTTAGGGGTAGGGATCTCGACCGTTTAGAAGATAAAACTCAAATTTATTTCCATGAACCAGTAACAAAACACCAACATAATTCTCTAAAATTAGATATGATTTTATATCTATCAATTAAACACATCACTTTTCAAAACAAATAACTCAAACTTATTTCCATAAACCAGTAAAAAACCAGTAACAAAACACCAAAATAATACTCTAAAATTAGATATGACTTAACCACTCATAAATCTCTAAAATTAGATATGATTTTATATCTAACAATTAAACACATCACTTTTCAAAACAAATAACTCAAACTTATTTACATAAACCAATAAAAAACCAGCAAAATACTTCTCTAAAATCAGATATCATGTTATATCTATTTCCATATTATAATCAAATTTAATTAATAGTTGCTAATATTGTTTCTTTCATGTGTCAAAAAATAATACAGATCTGCAACTTATCTATCAATGTCAAAAACTTTATCTCATAATAAAAATAGATTATTATCTAATTAAAAACAAGTTTAGATTCAGCACTTAAAGAACCCTATATATATTTAATTTATGTTCAAATATAACACACACAAACTGATTAATTTTCCCAGGGGACCTGCCCTTTATTTCATATGATTTGTTTTTTTGTCCCATACAAGGATATATATGATTTAGGGGCGGGGATCTCAACCATTGACAAGTTCTTAAACAGGAAGAAGGTGGGAATGACGCCAAGGAACTCACCTTTCATTTCATTTCATTTGTTTTATTGTAACATACAAGAATATATATGGTTTCCCCGTGGGAATCTTGACCATTTACAAGTTTCCAAAAAAAAGGAGAGTAGGGGTTACCCCAGGGGACTTGCCCTAAATTTAATTTGCTTTAATTTATTGTCCCATACAAGTTCATATATGGTTTAGGGGTGGGGATCTCAACCGTTTACAAGTTTTCAAAAAGAAGGGGGTAGGGTTTACCCCCGTGGACTTCCCCTATATTTCATTTGATTTGATATATTGTCCCATACAAGAATATATATGGTTTCTGGGTGGGAATCTTGACCGTTTACAAGTTATAAAAAAAAAGGGGGGTAGGGTTTATCCCAATGGACTTCCCCTATATTTCAATCAGAAAACAGTAAATTTTCAAATAAATCTGTCACTCCAATGATTATCATATGCTAAAATATTTCAAAGATCTAATTAATAATGAAAATAAATCATTATCATATGCTGAAATATTTATAATATCTAATTGAACAGAACTATGCTTGTTTAACATAGTACTCTAACATAATTAATAATGTAATAATCTTCAAAATGTCTAATGATATAGCTTATAATCATTACCACTTAGGAAATAGATAATTTTCAAATAAATCTGTCACTCCAATTTTTATTCTGAGATAAGACAAATCATAAAAAGATAACAACAGTAAAATATTAAAAAATTCTACTTTTGGATATTAAAAATGAAGATAACTCACAAAGGAGATATACTAAAATCTTGAAAATTAATAGAGACCTTCATTTAGTCCCATGAAACAACATATTTAAATTTGAAAAAAATTTGTTAAAGCGTTTTCATGTTATTGTGCGGACGCTGTTTGGCAGCCGCCAGAGCCGCCCAGCCGCCCGCCGTATATAACCATTTTAATAACCGATATTTCCTTCGAAAATCCGGTTAAAAATATATTTATAAAAGTGGCTGGTCACTTTGACAGGTATTTAATATAAACATTATAGGTTTGCTTTAACTTTTTAATGGACCTTTCACCTGTAATTCAATTTTAAATATTTTAAGTTTACCTTTCATATTGTATTATACCTTTTAATATTTCAAACTTTTAACAGAATACTACTGAAGCATGAACCAAGTACTAAACACAGCTTAAAGATTTAGACTGTGACTTATGTTAGAGGTAATCTGATTAACAATCATTCAATATTTTAAAGTGTAAAAATATTTCATAGATAAAGTAAAGAAACACCAAATCTATTTTAAAATTACTGAAGTAAATATATATTCACTTTTGTAGGGAATATATTAAATTTTGTAAATACAAAAAGACCAATATCTCACTTGCATAAATATTTTTGGTAAACAATTCTATCCTATTTACATAAAGTTTTATTCTAAATTTAAACTTATCAGAAATATTATAATTCTAATCATATTTTTAATGTTAGAAATAAGAAGATACATTCAACTTCATTGAAGTAAGCTAGGTCCCTAATAATCCAAGAAAATTCTAATTTTCATCTTAAGGCACACCATCAGCTTCTTCATGATGTACATGAATGTGTATACCATAATGGCATATCATATATATAGCTATATGTCTATAAGTTTCTGGGAAATGGCTGTGGGTGTGCATGCAAATACCAATGCCAAGGGAACAACAACAGCCCCCCCCCCCCCCCCCCTTCTCAACTTTGTTGAGGCAAATTAAAAATAGTCAAGTCTCCTCTTTTGAGACAACAAACTCATTACTTTTGCCATGCAGGATGGTAATTTTTTCTGAAATCTGAAAAAAATGAACAAAAAATATTTTTGTGTGTGAGGCCAATATTTATGGATAGGTGTGTAAACATTGTACATGTTGTAAAAGATATTTTGATTTCGTCCTTATAATATAAAAAAAAATATTTATATATACCTTAAAACATATGCATCCATATCATCACTGGAACTCTTGCTGATGATCTCACATCTCACTATCCTCAGAAGATGTTCCCAGTCTAACCTATAAAAACATGAACACAGAATTTATTTATTTGGATGATGACTAATGAAGATTTAGATTTCAATATTTCTCTTAATGACTATTTGTATAAAAAAACAAGCATTCTGTGAGTATTGTCTGGCAATACATAGTCCCCTACCGGTTCAAAATTCATTGTACTTGCACAAAATGCTAACTTGATCTATAACTTGTCATGGTGTAAACTATATAACAAATATCAAGTCAATATCTTCAAGCATGACGAAAAAAAATGTGGAAAATTGATTATTTACGTGAATTTTCTATGTCTAAGGACCATAACTCTGCACAAAATCATCAGACCAGAACAAAATTCGAACTAGATCTGTAACTTGTCATGATGAAACTCTTTACCAATTATCAAATCAGTATATTCAATGCAAGCATGAAGAAAAAAAGTGAGGAAAACTGATTATTTGAGTGAATTTTCTAAGTTCAAGGACCATAACTCTGCACAAAATAGTCAGACCTGAACAAAATTCGAACTTGATCTGTAACTTGTTATGATAAAACAATACACCAAATATGAAATCAATATTTCAAGCATGAAGAAAAAAAGTGTGGAAAACTGATTTGCCGGACTGACGGATGGACAGACAGATGGACGGAGTGCAAACCTAAAGTACCTTTTGACTTCGTCATTAAAACATTAAAACAATGGCAATGGTTAACATATATATATATATATTATGTCGTGTACTAATTTTTGCACCTTTTGTTTGCGGTATACCATCTTTTCCGCAAGTTTATTGTTTTCTGTTTGGTATTAAATTAATAAATAAGATCCATTTTGTTACATCTGGTGATCCGTTTATTTGGCAATCGCCAATGGCAGTCAGCAGGGTTTAAGAACATCAGTTGTTCGACCTGCTAGTCAAATGCGTTTAGTTAACATTTACTCCTTTTTTGGTCTTTTGGAAAATGTTGTTTGTGCTGTATTTAGACCCCTCTTCCAAGAAATTTATTGCCTTTCTTGTTTTCAGCATACTGTAGGTGCCCTTTTGTTAATTTTCCATACACTATAGGTGCCCTTTTTATAAATCTTTGCGCGCTCTAGATGCCCTTTTTCAATTAAGTTACCATGCCCTTTTTGAGTGATAGGGGAAACACTATTATACACGATATATATATGAATATATATGTATATATACATGACATATATGTAAATACAAATGTATATATTTGTAAATGCCTTGCCTGCTTCACTTTCATGATTGAATTTCTGTTGAAAGTCTTTATTTCAATATTAAGATATTCTACAACTATCACATAAAATTAACATTATCAATACTACAAAAAAAGACCATGTACATGAAGTCAAGGTCAGAAGAACTAGAAACACGAAAATTTAAATATATTTGGAATGGGAAGCCAGACAAAGTAAAAAGAAACATGATAATACGTCCATATGAAAAAGGGGGCTTAAAAATGGTCAATTTTAAAAGTTATTTTATGTCGCTAATGGGTATCATGGGTATATAGACTTGTTAATGGTAAATATGCCAACTGGAAGCTTATACCTTATATATGTGTTCCAGAATTTTATAGAGAAATAATAAAGTCCTGGATTTTGACTGGGGGTGGGCAAACAAAACAACCAGTTACATATGTCATGTATGTTGAAATAAGAAAGCAAACGATATGGGGGAATAAATTTATTGAATTTCATAATAAACCAATTATCTTTGATAACTGGATTAACATGATTAAGAGTGATATAATATACTTAAATGACATTCTGGATGACACTATGTCATTATCAGAAAACTATATTTTAAACAAATTAAAGTGTAAGATAAACTGGATTGCTGAATTTCAAAATTTGAAACAATCTATTCCACAAAATTGGATTCACATAGTTAAACAAGAAAATTCTGTTAAAAGTACAGTAAATGTCCAGAGAAGTAAGATCACATGGAAAGATCGTTATTTTGAGACTACATGTTTTTCAAAATAATGTTATATGATTCACTAGTGAGCAATAAAAAAGAATCGTCAGTAGGGATAAACAGGTGGCTTAAAATTCTACCAATGCAAAAAGCATTGATTTTGGCAACACATATACGACCTCTTAAAAGGAGTAATATAGATTTTTTAATAAAACTACAACACCTGATATTTGGATACAAAATCACAGACAACAAGTATTACTCAATAAATTTTTTAATTACAATACTTAGTTTTTCAATATTTAAGTCATACTATGTATCTGAGCAGAAAACAAAAAACATAGATGTCTACAGAATTTTTGTAAATGAATATACTAAGAGAGTAGACACCAATATTAATGGACATAAGATAATAAGTCCAAAGTTACTAACAATTAAAAGAAACATAATCAATGATTAGTTTTTCTAGTATTGTTATTCTAGTGTTATCAACAAAATGTATGCCAAAAAAAAAAGAAAAAGGTCAGATGAACTCTGCAAGATGGACATGCATATGTATGCCTTACAATCATACCATACACCAGATATAGTTAACCTAATGCTTTGGTATTTGAGAAACAGACATTTCTATGACAGACCTATATATGAAACTTACATTGACCTTTTGATTTTAGTATCTGAGAAACAGACATAACCAAGAAATATATACATGACCAATGAACCATGAAAATGAGGTAAATGTCAGATGAAAGCCATCATTCAGACAAGTACACCTTACAATCATTCCATACATGAAATATAGTTGACCTATTGCTTATAATATCTGATAAATGGTCCAAACCACTAAAACTTAAAACTTTGACCAATGAACCATGAAAATTAGGTCAAGGTCAGATGAACTGCCAGACAGGCATACACACCCTTCATTCATTTTATACACCAAATACAGTTGACCTATTGCTTTTAGTATCTGAGAAACAGACAAAACCACAACAATTTAACATTGACCCATGAACCAGTAAAACAAGGTCAAGATCAAATGAAACCTGCCAGTCAGATATGTACAACTTACAATCATTCTAATAATTCCATACAAGAAATATAGTTGACCTATTGCTCAAACATGTGAATATGACCAGGAAAACTTAACCTTGATCACTGATCCATTAAATGAGGTCGAGTTCTGGTGAACCCTGTCTGGTGGACATGTAGACCTTGCAAGGAACCCATAAACCTAATATATATATCCTATTACTCATAATAACTAATTAATTCACATGACAGAAAAAATAAAATGCTTCGCTGGGCGCAGCTTGATACGACCGCAGAGGTCGAACCCTGAACAGTTGGGGCAAGTATGGACACAACATTCAAGCTTGATACAGCTCTGAATTTGGATTGTGATTAAATATTTGACACAGCATAGGTTTCTGACACAGAAAGAATGTGGTCTAAGAACTTCAATTTTTTTAATTTACCTATTATGGTCCAATGTCCAAAATCAAAATACATGGTTAGATTCAGCATATCAAAGTACCCCAAGAATTCAATTTTTGTTGAAATCAAACAAAATTTAATTTTGGACCCTTTGGACCTTAATGTAGACCAATTTAAAAAACGGGACCCAAAATTAAAAATCTAAAAACACGGTTAGATTTGGCATATCAAAGAACCCCAATAATTCAATTTTTGATGAAATCAAACAAAGTTTAATTTTGGACCCTTTTGACCTCAATATGAACCAATATGATAGCGGGCCCACAAAATAAAAAATCTAAATACATGGTAAGATTCAGCATATCAAAGAACCCCATATATTCATTTTTTGTTGAAATCAAACAAAGTTTAATTTTGGACCCCAATTTGGACCAACTTGAAAACTGGGCCAAAAATCTAAAATCTAAATACATGTTTAGATTCAGCATATCAAAGAACCCCATATATTCAATTTTTGTTGAAATCAAACAAAGTTTAATTTTGGACCCCCAACTTGGACCAACTTGAAAACTGGTCCCATAATCAAAAATCTAAACACATGTTTAGATTCAGCATATCAAAGAACCCCAAAAATTCAATTTTTGTTAAAATCAAACTAAGTTTAATTTTGGACCCTTTGGACCTTAATGTAGACCAATTTCAAAAACGGGACCCAAAATTAAAAATCTAAATACACAGTTAGATTTGACATATCAAAGAACCCCAATAATTCAATTTTTGATGAAATCAAACAAAGTTTAATTTTGGACCCTTTTGACCTCAATATGAACCAATTTGATAGCGGGCCCACAAATAAAAAATCTAAATACATGGTAAGATTCAGCATATCAAAGAACCCCATATATTCAATTTATGTTGAAATCAAACAAAGTTTAATTTTGGACCCCAATTTGGACCAACTTGAAAACTGGGCCAAAAATCTAAAATCTAAATACATGTTTAGATTCAGCATATCAAAGAACCCCATATATTCAATTTTTGTTGAAATCAAACAAAGTTTAATTTTGGACCCCAACTTGGACCAACTTGAAAACTGGGCCCATAATCAAAAATCTAAACACATGTTTAGATTCAGCATATCAAAGAACCCCAAGAATTCAATTTTTGTTAAAATCAAACTAAGTTTAATTTTGGACCCTTTGGACCTTAATGTAGACCAATTTAAAAACGGGACCCAAAATTAAAAATCTAAATACACGGTTAGATTTGGCATATCAAAGAACCCCAATAATTCAATTTTTGATGAAATCAAACAAAGTTTAATTTTGGACCCTTTTGACCTCAATATGAACCAATTTGATAGCGGGTCCACAAATAAAAAATCTAAATACATGGTTAGATTCAGCATATCAAAGAACCCCATATATTCAATTTTTGTTGAAATCAAACAAAGTTTAATTTTGGACCCCGATTTGGACCAACTTGAAAACTGGGCCCATAATCAAAAATCTAAATACATGTTTAGATTCAGCATATCAAAGAACCCTAAAAATTCAATTTTTGTTAAAATCAAAATAAGTTTAATTTTGGACCCTTTTGACCTTAATGTAGACCAATTTGAAAACGGAACCAAAAATTAAGAATCTAAATACACGGTTAGATTCGGCATATCAAAGAACCCCAATAATTCAATTTTTGATGAAATGAAACAAAGTTAAATTTTGGACCCTTTGGACCTCAATGTGGACCAATTTAAAAACGGGGCCCAAAATCCAAAAACTTAATACTTGGTTAGATTCAGCATATTAAAGAACCCCAAGAATTCAAGAATAAAACCCCATTGAAATTGATCAAGAAATAAGCAATTTATACGAAGTATCTTCTTTTGCACAATACTGTGCAATTGAATATTTCTTGCTATTGTGCAATACTGTACAATTGACAATTTCTTGCTATTGCGCAATATTGTGCTATTGGATATTTCTTGCTATTGCGCAATACTGTGCAATTGAAGATTTCTTGCAATTGTGCAATACTGTGCAATTGAAAATTTCTTGCTATTGCACAATACTTATTATATAATAATTTACACATCCTGTTTGGTGTGTATCTCCTACCATATCATTATTATTTGCTTTTAAATATTAATCAGAAATAACCAACTTAAAATGGAAAATTTTAAAAGAAAAAAAAAAAGGAAAAAAAGAAAAAAAAAGAAGAAAAAAAAATCCCCCCCCCAAATTTTTTGAACCCCCTTATGATTCATCACCCCCAAACTCAATCCCAGCGTTCCCTTTGTGGTATGGTACCTTGCAGTACAATTTCAGAGAGATCCATACACTTGAACACAAGTTATTGTCTGGAAACTAGAAAAATGCTTATTTTTGGCCCCTTTTTGGCCCCCTTTTCCTAAACGTTTCGGGCAATTACCCACAAACTCAATTCCAGCTTTCCCTTTGTGATATGGAACCTTGTAGTACAATTTCAGAAATATCCCAACACTAACACACAAGTTATTGTCATGAAACTAGAAAAATGCTTGTTTTTTGCCCCTTTTTTGGCCCCTAATTCCTAAAATTTTGAGGCAATTACCCCCAAAATCAATTACAGCCTTCCCTTTGTGATATGGAACCTTGTGGTACAATGTCAGAGAGATCCATACACTTACACACAAGTTATTGTCTGGAAGTTACAAAAATGCTTATTTTTGGCCCCTTTTTGGCCCCTAATTCCTTAACTGTTGGTACCATAACCCCCAAAATCAATCCCAACCTTCCTTTCGTGGTATTGAACCTTATGGCAAAATTTCATGGAGATCCATTCACTTAAACTAAAGTTAGAGTGCGAAAACCAATGTGTCTTCGGACGACGCCGGACGACGACGACGACGACGCCAACGTCATACCAATATACGACCAAAAAATTTTCAATTTTTGCGGTCGTATAAAAATAAATTAAGCAGTCGCTGAACCATAAAATGAGGTCAAGGACAATGGACATATGACAGATGGAAACTTTGCAACGTAAGGCACATGTATACAAGGTATGGAGTAATTGAAATGCCCTTTGCCATGTCTGTGTGCATTATATATATAGGAATAAAGATATTTGTAAAAAAAAAATGTATTTGTATTGTACACCTGGAAAAGTTTTAAGGCCTGTTTCAGAGCAAAGAAAATACAATTTCAACCATGCAGAAGATGGTAAAGCAAATAATAAGCTGATGTTTAATTTCACATCTTTAATACAGTCCACTCAGTTACTTCTTCTCTTTGTAGATTCCTCCGCAACGAAGCACCCGTGTCACACGGTAGTAAAATATAGAACCTTATCTTTAAAATTAACATTAATATAAAAGAAAAGGTGGTAAGGGGATATATTTACAGCAGGCCATTATTTATCTTTTTAGTATACTTTATCTACGGTAAGATGTTTTAAAACGATGTTGATAAAAAAATTAAAATAAGTAAAATTGGTGCTCAAGAATTTACAGTGGAAATATTTACATCAGTTGATTTAATTGCATTAATAACATGAATATGGTAACTCCTAAAATTTAAAAGTAACTCGATTATAGTGACTAAAACCTTAAAAATTATTACGATTGGATGTAAAAAAAAAAGTAGCTTCCACAGGTTTGTACATGATACATGTAATAGTGCCCTCAATCTGTGGTCTTTATCTTAATATAGATTATCAACCCTTATCTGATATGTAATTCCAATGATTAAATTCAATAAAATTAAAAAATAAAATTTAAAATATACAGTCATTAGAATTTGTGCCCATTGGGTGAAGATCACTTTATAAAGTCTTAATCTTCTTTTGCATCAATATTCTCTGAGTATGGAGTCCATAGCATAGATCTTTACTGAGATTTTCTATTTGAATAATTGTCTCTGGACTAAAGTTCATTTCTTGGGCCAATATTGTACAGTCTATAATTATTTGAATAATTAATCATGCCGGGTTCCCTTTGAAATTTCATTCCATTTGTTATATCCAACAGACTGTATGATGAGTTTTTTCAACTCCGGGAAACTTTTTTGCCGTTTATCATATAGAACTTGGCACTTGAGTAAGAAGTGTTCTAGAGTTTCTATTTCCAAATGACACAGAGTACAATTTGCTTTTTCTTGCTCCCTTTTGAATTTCTGTATGTCACATTCTAAGAGGTATGTACCGGTGAGTAATTTGGCTTTGATTTGTGCCTTTTTTACCTCATATATATGTAACTGATGGTAAGGAGTTCCATACTGGATGAGTCTGATGTATTTTGAGCTCTGTTGTATTGCAGAATTTAAGAGTGGATTTTTCTTTCATTTTGGTTTGTAGCTTACTTGTCCATTTATCAGCTATGGCTGTGTTAATTTGCCTATTCCACTGTTTAAATCACCTATTGTTGCCAGGTAGATATCAATTGTCCTTCTATTGTCTAAGGTCAATCAATACAATACCATATACAAATAATACCGGAGGAAAAATCTCAACAAATTTTTCAACTAAATTTATGTTGACAACATATATGTACCAACAAAAAGTGTACTTCAAAATCTAGGAAATTTTAATTGATTTTATGAACCACAATATATGCATTTACAGGTCCAGCCAAGTCTTCAAACTTTTCCAGTTAAACAGGTTTGTCTACATACTTATTTGCATATAACAATCCAATTTATAGCTGCCCACCATAGATAGTCATGCACAAACCAGAAAATACTCCAAGGACCATACATTTTGGGTTAGTTCTGCAGCTAGTATGTACAAGTGTACTCAAAAATATTTTTCTATGTCAACACGACCAAAAGATTAAGATTATAAGTTAAAAATGTAGTGGCAAACATTGCTACTCTGGTAGAACTACTATTACAGATTTCGCAATCATTTCACGTGTCGTAAGAAAAAGACCCGATCAGCTGATACAATGACAGTGGTGATAGTGTCGAGCATGTTTCATCTACGTCTACTTTTAATTTTATTCTTACACTTTACTGATGTCACTTTTCACTGCTACCGTAAATGAATAATTACCTTTCTATAATTCTAAGATCAAAACTGTCATCTCCGTTTGTTGATTCAAACCATACTTCAAGCAATTTTTCGGTTCCCTCAAAGAAATGTGGATCCGACTGCACACCGGCCATTTCGAATTCGGTGAAGGTCAAGAAATGCTCTAATTATTTAGCTATGCCAAGAAATAAGGAAAACAACCGAAACAATCCGAGTAATGCATAATGAGTTTGACTAATCACTAATAAATAATACACACCACAACGTACTACTTACTTTTTTCAAATGAAAATTTAATGAGATCATATGTGGGATATATATGTTAGCACAAAATTTTGAACACATTTAAAAGTCAATGTATGGTCTTTAAAAGAGAGGCGAAAGATACCACAGGGACATTCAAACTCATAAGTCGAAAATAAACTGACTAAGCCATGGCTAAAAAAGAAAAAGACCAACAGACAAACATATAGTACACAAAACACAACATAGAAAACTAAAAACTGAGCAACACGAACCCCACCAAAAGTGGGGGTGATCTCAGGTGCTCCGGAAGGGTAAGCAGATCCTGCTCCACATGTGGCACCCGTCTTGTTGCTCATGTTAGTACAAACCCGGTAATAAGTCTTATTTGTTTGGTCACATTAGGGAAAAGGGGACGGGATTGTAGTTACGACATAAGGAACATATCCGCTATAAAATTATAATCATCTGTTAAAAGATATTCCGTAACAGTCAACCAACTCGTGATGGCACTCGTAAAATTTACAAAGGGATGATTATAATCAACTTCACCACTTAGAACTCTTGGTTTAATTAAGCTTCCTTGTGAGCAGCAATCCTCCATCAAGGAAATCATGATCGGAAATACAAGCCCTGGAGTATCGTATCAATTGGGAGATATATACTCCGTATGCAGGCGCTGCTTCAATAAACAAAATCCAATTCAATTGCTCTAAATGGCCCAGAGTCTTGAACAAACTTTGAATGCAGACACTATAAATCCATCAACACCAAAGTTTTATAGCCACTGACCCTCTGATCATTTTGCTTTTTTCAAAAATGGTAAAATCCATATTGACAGGACTACAGGAAAGACCTAGACAGGTTTCATATATACATGGCTCACATGTACTATTACAGTTTAACAAAGAGAGCGTGTGGATTAACTCTCCGTTTAATTGTTATTCTAAACACTTATTTGCAGTTTAATATTTCTCTACAATTGCAAATAAAAACCACATGAAAACAACAATTTAAAGATCACTCTTTCTATAAATTTGATAAGATAATGGTAAAACCAATTGTATTACAGCCATCACTTTTAGTATGTAATACTAACTCTAATAATTACAGCCATCACTTTTAGTATGTAATATTAACTCTAATAATTACAGCCATCACTTTTAGTATGTAATACTAACTCTAATAATTACAGCCATCACTTTTAGTATGTAATATTAACTCTAATAATGCCAGCACCCTCTTTTTGGTAAGTGTAGCAATTGATATGGAGTTGAATATAATGCAATTCACTTGAAGAACTTCAATGATAAGAAAAACCCATACTATATAGCTAAGGTTATCAAGTTTATACAGAGAGTTAATGGCACCAAAAATATGATTGATTGATTGTTAATTTCATCACACTTGGCTATTTCATGACAAGTTTTTATTGGTGGAGGAAGCTATTAGTACATGAAGAGAACCTCCAACCTTCAGCAGGAAAACTGACAATCCTAGTCAATTAAAATCAACCTTCAACAGCCCTCCATAAATATACTGAAGGCTCAAAGGTGCCTGTATCATCTTGGTAGACTGTGTTTTGGTGCCATTCATGTTGCTCAATTTTTAGTAATATAGGCTGCTGTCTTTTTTCTGTAGGCCAAGGTTTTTTGGTCATTATTCTCTGGCCTGCTATTTTAATTGCCTCTTGGTATCTTAAATAATCTTATTTTATTTGTTTAAAAATTATGGTACATGTACAGTGACTATGCTACGAATGTCATAGTCTGCACAATAACCATGTTTAGCATATATCCTTCTATTAATAAATTTATTAGCATGTATTGCATGAATATAAGATATTTTTAGAACAACCAAAAATGGTTGTAGGCTTGTACGATATCCTCTCAGTAAGATCAACATGTAATCTGTGTTACCACATCATCATAATTTTGAAATTTGAGAAGTGACCTTTATGAAGAATCAAAAATATAATCTTTCAGCCTGTGTTAATCCAATCAGAAGGAAAGGGCCTTTAAAACTCAAGTTTTAAAATATTTTTTTTCACCTACAGCAGGTACAGAATTCTTCGGATTATAAAATATCAGTTTGTATGATTATGATCTCTTAGTTGTATACTTTCAAAAAGTTTGTACTTCATGTTTTAAACACTTAATATATCATTCAATATGAATTTTGACCCCTCAAAAAAGTTTTGCAAGGTATGCAATTAATTCCATTGAACATATAACATTGAATAATTTAGAAGTTACAGTAATGTTTTATAGATACAGCTATTATGTAAGAATTCTAGATTAATACCAACTTCTTTTTCAATGAAATAAATTTCTTTGTCAGTTTGTTTGTAAAAATCAGGTATTTTTATTAAAAGGAGGCACTTTTCTTTGTATGGTTCTTTGTGAAAACAGGGATGTCAATTGATAGGGTTATCAGATGTAAATTTGAAAATCAACAATCAAAGTAACATTCCTGTGAAAACCAGTTCTCATCTAATAATCAGATTTTTTTTATATATTCCTTTTGGGAATTGGATAATATGTGTATGGTAATTTCTGAGGAATTTATTCCTTTTTTTTATTTAAATGATGACAATACTTACTCTGGCACATTAGGATATGCAACCATTTATACAAAGATGCCTTTCAAAAAATAACATTTTATTCTTTTTCCCTTTGTTCTCACTTGATCAGGCATTTATTCCTGTGATATTTTGGGGTTTTTCTATGATAAAGTCAGTCTTAGTACTCATTTCTTGACTTGCATGTTTGAATTTGCTTTGGAAATAAATGTAAATACTGAGTTTATGTTTTAGGTTATATATATTAGTTCCAAATGCCATATGGTTACATGTTGATTGGCACTCTCATCCTATGATCTTTGGTGGATAACAGAAGTTGTCCCATAAATACTTATACCATGTATTAATATCTTCATTATAGTATAGTCTACATGAGAGCAGTAATCAATGATGGAAGAATAAAAAGATACCATTTCACTCAATATTATTTATTTTACACATCTTCATTTAAACAATCTCACTACAATACAAAAATGTGTTTACTCATACAAACAAAAAATTAATTATACTCATTCAAACTTAAATAAAAGGACATTAAAGGTGATCAAAACATGCAGACCACAAAGACATCATAGGAATATTGCAAATATATTCAAAACAGTTTTTAAATGTTCATTTACAATTTTTTTACATTTCAACAATTTACAAAAGTAATAATAAAAATTTCTAGGCCATGCTAACTTAAAACAGATTGTAAAAAACAATTCTTTCATTATTTTATCTTGTGTCAAATATCAACATCAGAGGTTATTTTTGCGCTTGTTTTATTAAATCTATTAATATATAATAGGGATGTCAACTCGGTGAACAATTACTAATCAAGTATTTGTTGGTTTTATCGAGCGATACTCGAGTACTCGCTCGGGAAAATATCTACAACACGGAAACATAAAAATGCGTACTTTATATTCTATCGTTTGTTGTTCAACGGACGAAAAACCATCTACATAAGTATCTGGAACAAGGAATTACACACCATAATTAAAAGCTCATTACCTACAAGTACTAATTAAGTAAAAAACAATAATCTAATCAACATAATTTAAAGAACACCTATTTAAAAATTATAACAAGGAAAAAACATATCAAACAATAGTATTTGGTAATCGTTAAGAAAACACATTTAATGTTTACAAAGGCGTAATGATTAGAAGTTTAACTATTCACTGAGGGTCATCAGACTGAGGATGCAACGAATTTGTTTTATTTGGAAACATTTTCTTGTCAACTATTATTGGGGACAGTCGGTTTTGCAACTTTGTAAATTACAGTCTTGCAGATGAAAATATTTGCTCTGACGGTACCGATGTGACGGAATGGCTAAGACATGTTTAGTTTAAAGTGTTAGCCTAGGTATAGCCCACATATTTTCGGAGGCATTTTAAATGACAATTTAGCACAAGCATTCGAAACAAAATGTATTTTACTTACTAGTATGATTAATCAGTGATGCCTATTTAATTTTCCAAAAGAGGATCTCAAGAAGACCAATTTAATATAAAGAAAACAGCAATATTCTAACAGGAAACCCATTAGTCGAGTATCGGTTTGGTATTCGATACTCGGTACTACCGAGCAATACTCGAATACTCGAGTACTCGTTGACATCCCTAATATATAATATTGAAAAATAAATGTGGATAGTGTCCACATGTGGACACAGATGATGCCCCCGCTTGCATATCATATAGTTATAAAGGGACATAACTGAAGAACGGTAAAAGTGATGCTACCCAAATTTGAACTTGATCTGAGTTTTGTGGTAATAAGCATTGTGTGTAAGTCTCATAACATTTAGTTGAGGCTAACTTTAGAAAACAGAAACTAAAAATTCAGCAATTTTTCTATTTGTAAACACGCATAACTCTAGAACGTTTGTTTATAAGTTTTATAACATTTGGATGAGACAAACTAAAGTTAGAGAACAATTTTTATGTTTATAAAGGGACATAACTCAAGAATGGTAAAAGTGTCGCCACCAAATTTCGTACTTAATCTGTATTATGTAGTAATAAGCATTGTGTATAAGTTTCATAACATTTGGTTGAAGCAAACTAAAGTTAGAAAACGGAAACAAAAAATTTGTACTTGATCTTAGTTTTGTGGTAATGAATATTGTGTATAGGTTTCATAAAGTTTGGTTGGGGCAAACTTAAGTTACAGAATGGAAACTAAATATTTTGCAATCTTTCGATTTATAAAGGGGCATAACTCAATAATGGTTAAAGTGACACTTCCCAAATTCAACTTGATCTGTGTTTTATCAGTGGAAGTCAAAATTAAACATTGCATTGTATAAAGCATTGATAGTAGTTGATTCAAATATAATCATGGACAAAGGAAGATAACTCCAATTTTAAAAATTACTTGATATTTAAAAGAAAATAAAAATTTTCCAATTTTTCCATTTATAAAGGAGCATAACTCTAGAACGGTTAAAGTGATGCAACCAAAATTCAAACTTGATCTGTGTTTTGTGGTAATAAGCATTGTGTATAAGTTTGATAACATTTGGTTGAGGCAAACTTATGTTAGAGAACGGAAACTAAAAATTTTGCAATTTTTCCATTTATAAAGGGGCATTACTCTAAAACAGTTAAAGTGACGTCACAAAAATTCAAACTTGATCTGTGTTTTGTGGTAATAAGCATTGTGTATAAGTTTCATAACATTTGGTTGAGACAAACTCAAGTTAGAGAACGGAAACCAATTTTGGGACGTACGTACGTACAGACGGACAAGGGTAAAACTTAAGGCCCCCACCGCTACAGCAGGGGCATAAAAACTGTTTGTAATGTAGGTCTTTTATTTTTTTGGTACGTTTTTAATAAAATAATCTACTGGCATTTGAAAATTCAATATGATAGGTATTTCCAGGAAAATCCTAAGCTTGGCAATATTACCCAGAATGGTAGCCAGTGGCCTTTCAAAATAAATAACAAATCTATGGATTAATTGAACTAAGTACTATTTTTTTTTTAATTAGGATTATAAGGTTTAAACATCTTTTTAATAAATTTATAGGGCCCTTAAGTTTTGTGGCTAACCATGTTAATGAGTGAAAAGTTAATGAATGATTTGAGGGATAGTTATCATATAATGTCTGACATAGGATTGACAATAATATTTAACTGCCCATTTAAACAGAAATAAAACAACACATAAAGGATGTATTTAGTATTCTGAATTTCCCAAAAATCTACATTTTCTTTCAAAAAGGGACATAATACATATGTGAAATTAGATCACATTACCAACACTAATGGACTAAAATTGTTTGCATTTGATTAAGACAATCTAGAAATCTAGTTATCGAAATCAGTGATGTGCTTAATGTATTAGCTTAAATGATAACATATAAATCAAGATAAAGAAGATCAAAATAATGTAGATCATAATTGCATGTTAAGATTTCTGATAGGTTGATCGAGAAAAAAACATCAACAAAACTTTATGTGATTACTGAAATATATACATACAATAATTGGGTTAAACTTAGCGTCCACAAAAATTTTACCAACCAAGTTTACAGAGAAGCACTATGAACACATATTCAAAATTAATAACTGATTCAAATACATCTTAAAATAATGCCACAGGAAAGAGAAACATTAGCACCATTTATGGCCAGGAATGATATGTGTAATACAAAAATATCTTTAGATTCTATATATTAACCATAACATTGCACAATCTATTCACAAAATGAATTAATTTAGACATCATCATTTAAGTTTTATAATGGTCTAAGCCATGTGAAACAATTTTAAAATGTTATTTCCTATGGAGAAAAACAGGACCATATTTGTCACCATAACAGTCATGTTTGCTATTCCAAAGCAAAATAAGCCAAGGATATTTCTCTTATTCTTCGTCAATTTATCCCTTTCTGCACCCATTGTATAAAAAAAATTTAATCAACGTGTGGTTCGTTTGATCTCAGTTCTTCATTGGTTGAAATCCGAATTTACTTGCTTTCCTCTGAATTTCCTATTGTGACGGCATGAAAAAAGGCGACCATGCCTGATGACGTCACATAGAAAGAACACATCTTTTTACAGATCATTCGAAAAGATGGAATAAGTTTGCCTACATATTGTTTGAAAATCATTAGAGAAACAGATTCCACCACCAAATTTCGTGTAATACGATATTTATCCACTCTCGACAGTTAAATTTTAAATATTTAAAACGCTCGGCAAGCCTCGCGTTTTAAATTTGAAAATTTAACTGTCTCGAGTGGATAAATATCGTATCACACTCGATGCAGTGGTAGAATCTATATATATACAATTTCATCAAAAATTTAACTGTACTTTCCACATGTTTGGCATCATTCTAACAGTTGAAGAAATAGGTCAAACCAAATCACCTCAAAAGAAACAGGTCTGTAATAATCATCTAACAAAAGTAATGGGTCAATCAAAATCATTTCAGAAAATAAACAGGTCAATATAATCATGTCATAAATGAAATAGGTCAATCAGATTCATCTTAAAAGAAATAGCTCAACAATAATCTACTTAAATAAGGATAGGTCAATCAGAATTGTGTCATAAAAGTAATAGGTCAATAACAATTATCTCAAAGTAAATAGGTCAATCCAAATAATCTCATAGAAAAAGGTCAATCAAAATCATCTCATAAAAGAAATAGGTCAATCAGATTAATCATAAAAGAAATAGGCCATTCAGATTCTTCTCATTAAAAAAATTTGTAAGGGTTCCGTGGAACCCAGTGTCTCGCTTACTTTTTCTGTTAATCGCAGGCTCAACAAAAATGAGGAAGTAAATAAAAATAAAAATATTCCTCTTGATACTATCTTTTGATTGTAAGAAGCTTCTGTCCAAGTTTGGTAAAAATCCAGGATAGTTTATGAATCTAATAAATGTTTAAAAACTTTAACTGCAGACTGAATGTAATGTTAACTGGAAGAAAACAAAATTTCCTTCTAGATACTAGCATTGATCATAAACAAGCTTCTGTCCAAGTTTGGTACAAATCCAAAATAGTATAAGAAAGTTATTAAAATTTTAAAAACTTTAACCACAGAGTGAATGTGTTGTTTCCTGGCAGAAAATCTAAGTCCATTTAAAAGTAAAATACGGAAAAAATGGATTTATTTTTTTACAAAATTTCCTTCTAGATACTAGCTTTTGATCATAAACAAGCTTCTGTCCAAGTTTGGTACAAATCCAAAATAGTATAAGAAAGTTATTAAAATTTTAAAAACTTTAACCACAGAAGGAATGTGTTGTTTCCTGGCAGAAAATCTAAGTCCATTTAAAAGTAAAATAAGGAAAAAATGGATTTATTTTTTTACAAAATTTACTTCTGGATACTATCTTATGATCATAAAAAAGCTTCTGTCCAAGTTTGGTACAAACCCAGGATAGTTTAAGAAAGTTATTAAAATTCTAAAAACTTTAACCACAGAGTGAATGTAATATTTCCCGGCAGAAAAACTAAGTCCATTTAAAAGTAAAATACGGAAAAAATGGAATTTTATTTTTACAAAATTTACTTCTGGATACTATCTTATGATCATAAACAAGCTTCTGTCCAAGTTTGGTACAAATCCAGGATAGTTTAAGAAAGTTATTAAAATTTCAAAAACTTTAACCACAGAGTGAATATTTGTGGACGCCGCCGCCGCCGACAGAATGTAGGATCGCTATGTCTCGCTTTTTCGACTAAAGTCGAAGGCTCGACAAAAATAAGTCAATCAGATTCATCTCATCCATATAATCTTTCCAGGTAATTTATTCAATCACATAAACATGAAATGAGATATCTTTGTAAAAGATTGTTTAATTTTTTATCATTTTGACTATGTTTTAGCTTTAGAGCAGTACTGTAAACTTAGAGAATGGAATGAAATGTAAATAACACTTTTTGAAATAAAAAAGCCATGACAAAAGATAATATTATCATTCAAACAAGGTAAGTTAAACTGATGACTGATCTAAATATTCTAAAGCAAACCTCTCAACTATAAAATTTTATATAAACAGTGCATTGTAATTGTGCCTTTATCTCCTGTACTTAAATTTACAATTTTTTATACAATATAAATGATGGTGTACATAAATTCACATTACTATAAAAATAAAGAGATGAGGTATGATTGCCAATGAGAGTCTATTATGAGACAACTATCTACCAAAGCTCAAATAAAGTGGATGAAAGCAAATATAGGGAACCATACAGCCTTCAACAATGAGAAAAACCCATACTGTATAGTCTGCTATAAAAGGCCCCAACATGAAAAATATGAAACAATTCAATGTAGAAAACTAACGGCCTAATTTTTAACAAAACAATTAACAAAAAACAAATATGACAGACATAAACCAACGACAAACACTGAACTACAGGCCCCTGACTTCATATTACTGCATATATATAATGTTATCAGTAAATATCTGCTAGAACTTATTTCCATGAAAAAGTATCTCCTGAGAAATAAGTGAAATAAACGAATGTACAATGCAAAAGTATATACAAACACAATACTTTAAGTTTACAAAAATACAGATACTTATATATAGATAACTTAGTTGACACTCATAATTATAACATAACAGTTTAAAACTCTCCTTATTTGAAGTTGTCAATTGTTAATTAATATGAAGCCTGAAGCATTGTCAAATGTACCAGTAACTCGATTGCAAAGTTCCAACAACAAGAAGTAAAAAAGCTGGCAAACGGAGGTTCCATACGTGTTCTGTAAGTTTCTCGTTTCAAATCAATTTATAGCAGATGGTGACCATTTAAATCCCTCAGAATCTTGATGTATATGTGGATGAAGTTGATGTCTGTATATTGCTGGAGGAAAACTGTAGTGCCTGCTGTGCTTGAACATTATGAATATGCTACAAAAGAAGAAAACTTTAGATTGAATTATAATTTACTTTCATATAATTCCTAGCTCCTGAAAAAAGCATTTATTTCCATTGTAAATCATAATTAAATGTAAAACAATAAATTATATGCTCAAAACAGTGATTCTCAATACAAGAATCAATCTTGTAAAAAGCTTGAAAAAAATAAATAAATGGAAACTGTATTTATATACTAGTGACATTTCCAAAACAGTGATGTTCCAAATAATTCATAATCAAAACAGAAAATAAAGCGTAAGACGATTTAAGTTTCATAAAAAAGAAGCTGAAAAGTAAAATACTATTGTTAGAACAGAACTAACAGTTAAATATAGATACATGTAACCTTCAATACTTCCTCTAAATAATATTTGATATTATACAAGTCTCTTGGCCCCAAAGTCTTTAATTGATATTAGTAAAACAGGGGCTTATTTATGGAGGGAATCTTGAGGAGTATGACTGCCTGATTAATAACTGGTAGCTAAATATCCTTTAGAAAATGTTTTATTCCTATTCAGCATTACAGAATGTTGTGTATTTTCAGACTGAAATATGCTGAATTCAGTTAAGAATTACACCTAGCATGACATGAGATGACTACAGCAAGGTGATATGAGCTTTGATGCAAGAACAATGTGAAATATCAAGGCTTGCTTTTTTTTTTACAGTAGTTGCCATTCTAACAGAGGACTTGTAAGCAACAAAAAACTTGTGCTTGGAAACAAAAAAAAAACATAATGTTGTATAGCAAAGTATATTTTTGTCAATGTTAGATTATTTATATTTTCGATTAAATACAACTTAGAAACCTTGTCTTTACCGTGCATATTCATAGAGATCATGTTTTTCATTTCCCCCTTTTTTTCAATAATGCATGCTTTAATATTTCTTGAAACAGCAGCAGTAATGTTATATATATGAATAATACTGTTTAAACAGAGATAGGTATTGTCTGCTTTGTAGCAAATTCAAACACAGTAATTTGATGGAATGCAATATTGTATAAAGAAATGGATATAACTCACCAAGTACTTCTTAATATCACCTTATCAGAAAACTTAACTTTGAACTATGTATTATTCCTTATTCAGTGGAGATAAATAGTAAGGTTTCAAAATCTCCTTAAGATATATATGTAGGACTCTAAAGTGCGATGGGGACGCTAAAGTGCAATGGGGACGCTAAAGTACGATGCCTCCATATGCTAAAGTCTGATGGTCCGCGAAAGTAAAGACGTAAGAAACGTAGTTGAATTATGACGTTAACAGTCGTTTATACAAACCAAAAATGAACATGCCGGAAGAAAAATTAAGAATATTTGATTAACAACTTTTAAACCAAATGTCCATGACTTAATCAATTTATACCTAACCGTGCTTTGTCTGCTGAAGCAAATGTGGTTTTTTTGGGGGTGCTGGAAGAAGGACTTGTATCCTGCAATCGACCATTTTCCTATATAGATACAAAATAGTGTACGCATAAGTATTCTGTATCCAGCTTTTATCGGAAGCGAAGAGATACATTTGAATCATTGTTTATGTTGCAGTTTACTTTGTGGTCCCCGTTAAAATATTGTCGATTTTATTGAAAAGTAACGTCGGCAAAATAAAGGTACGTTTTCATACGTAAATTATAAATTGTCGGCTAAAACATTAGTTTGAACATTATAGGAAAATATAACATGTATTTGTACTCGCTACGAAATCGGAGAAAGCTCGGGTGAACATCGCCTTTCTTTCTCATTTAAATTAAAGCTTAAACAAATAAATGTTATACATATTCCGACAATGAACCAATTTTGTATTTGTAATTTACAATGACAGCTGTAAGGGGAGATGTTCACATTAGTGATAGACTGTGTGAACGGCAAGCTACACCAATTATCCAAATATTTAATAAGCCCGAATTATTAAAAATTCATTTACAGGAAATTTAGTATTTTGTGACACCTAAATAACCTTTTTAGCAATTATTACCTGGTCGGTCTTCTAAATTTAGAAACAATCACTTAAGACTACCGGTAAATTATAAAGCCTATCACATATGTTATACCTTAGCATACTAGCTTTTGCAAAAAAACTATTTTTTAACATCCATGCACTTTAACGTTTTAAGCCTCTAACCTTACCCTTTTGGTCCATCGCACTTTAGCGTGATATACCATCGTACTCTAGCAAACAAACAACCATCACACTTTAGTGTGAGACACCATCGCACTTTAACGTGACCATTGCACTTTAGAGTACCATCGCACTACATATATATTTAAATGCGAAAAAATACCATTCTAAGTATCAAATGGTCTTTCTCAAGTTTATCTTCATCAGCCTTCTGAGTTAAAAATATTTGTAATTTGTAATTTGAAAATGCCAAACTTCAGAATTCACTGAAAAACAAGAAGGTGGAACCTAATATACTACTTGTACCCAATGCAAATGCATGAATGTAATTATAATACTGTACCAAGTTTCAATAGTTTTATTGTATGTTTCCTTAATCAAAACTTCTTTTTTGAAACATCTTATGACCAATTAACAACATTTGCTCAAAGTAAAAACATACAATAGTCTTGCTTTCACTCTTCAGTAACTCTCTTCACAGAATGGATATTCTAATGCATATGTTAACCTATCCAGAGTCTTAATTCTGATGTAGAATTAATGTGTTGACTACCATGCAAGAGAAATAACATCTACGTTTCACTTCTTGCTTTTCAATATTCATTGCAGGAGAGGTGAAGATAATTATAAATTACTTTTTAGAATTCATGAAGATTATGAAATTGTAAGATAATTAATTAATTAATAAGAAAACTTAAAGATAGTTACAGAGTTCCATATATTTAGTTCAGGTATTTAATTTGTATGAGAGGAATTTCATTAATTGTTGTTGCAGCAGCCAATAAATTTTGTCAGAATGAATATGCTAATGAGAAAGTTCAATCAAGGACCTTTGGACACTTTCACAATAAGAAAACTAGATCTTCAAAAGTTGCACTATTTTTTTGGATTAATAAATTGCTTGCCAACAAAATGAAAAATCTAAAAAGCAGTCTATCCTATTAAACCAGAACCACAAACCACATGCAAATTCCCAGAGAGCATTAAAATAGGAACATGCTTAATTAATCATTTAATACACTTTTTCATAGATCATAATTTCTATGAGAAAAATTCCTCAGTATCAACACATCCAAATTGTATGTATAATCTTATAAACATCCATGACTTCCTGTTCCTTGACCTCATGTTCCTAAGTCAGAAAAATGGGACAAAAAATTCCAGTTGGAGGTTCTAATTTCAATGAGTGCAAACTTGTGTGAAGTGTCAAAGATCAAGGTTTAAAACATCTTTAGATGGAAGCACAAATTAAATAGGTATCCATTTTTCAACATCCACTCATTCACCATTTTACATTTTTTGTGCCAAATTTATACATATACTTGTATATTATTCTTCATACAACCTAGCCAGAAATACTTTGATAACCAATTAACTATTTAATAATAGGTATGAAATCTGTTATATTTGGTATTCAAATAAATGTTTTTTTTGTTCATGAACAAATACATATCTCAAATGGGTGAAAGTATTTGACCCCGTGGAGTATTTGACCCCATGGAGTATTCATGTCAATCTCATGCTTTTAATTACCCTCTATTTTTCATAATGCAAGACATTAGATCATGTGAGTTTTATTTGGAACTGGACAATTTTTCTTATTATATAATATGGCTGTGGAAAATATTGATCACATGCAAGAATCATGGAAATATTTATGAGATGTGTTGTTCATCCAGACAAATATCATTAATGTCTAGTAAGATCTTATATGCACTCTATATTTTGGAATCCAAAATTCCCTTCTCAAATTTAAATATTTTCACAAAAACACTTTCATATCACATTTCTTTGACATCCTAGTTTTTCGTGTTAAGTCAATGATTTTAAACTTAACCTGGTATAAGTTATGACCATCAAAACTTTAAAAAAGAAATGAATTGAATAGGAATAATAAATTTAAAGTACAAATTCAAGTAAAATTAGGCCAAAAAAAAGAATAGATTTTATGTCATCTATGGTCAGGGTGCAAAGACATTTGATTAAATGTATTTTCTCTGACCCCACAATTTGTGCAGTAAAATAATATATTTTTCTTTTAGTCATTATCGTAAGTGATCTGAACAAATGTGGATTCATTTTATTCTATTGTTTATGAATATAGGCATGCAGTTATCATGACAAAGTCTAGTATTTAACCTGAATGTGGTATCATGGGAAATATCAATATAACATCATACCATATTGTTCAAGATTATTAATTGAAAATGTAAATTTAATGAACCTGAAAAGAACAACCTGAATATTTCTGATCGCTGAAAACATTTGATTGGTTGGATACCAAAAAGTTAGTAGTGAAAAAAAGAAACCAATGAGAATAAAATTGTGTATAAAAGTTACGGAAATTTCAGACTTACTTGATTTTTGTAGGGGTACCAATTCTGTGCCTTGAAATATACAAATGTTAAAAGAGATATAGAAAGCAAAGCAAGACAAAAACACATGCTGTATTAGTGAGCTTACACTCTGTCAATCAGGTAATGTAAACTTTATTTGCAGGTTATCTCCATAGATTGAAGCTTTCACATTCATAAAATTTCAAAGTAAGGTTTAAAATGTCAAACAAAAGTCATTCTGTCAGTCCAGAATGTGACATGGTAAACTGCTGCAAGTCAAATTCCTTTTGAAAAGTCTGAATGATCTGCAAATATTTTCATCTTCCACTCAATACTGATTTACTTATTGCCTTTTCCACTTTTGGGCTAATGTTTCCAAGACAATCATGTATGATTTTCATCATTCCCATTGTTTTTTCCTCAAAATTAAAAACTATTTGACTTTTAGTTCGGATATATCATGAAACTGTGTAATACAGGTTGAAGCCAAAATATACTGCTACTTACTTTAAGGACTCAAAAGACAAAAACC